CGCCAGGAGAGCGAGGCGCAGCAGGATGCGTCGGTGGTGTCGCAGGGCGGTTTGGTGGCGGCGACGACGCCCAACGCAGCGGCGGATGCGGCGCTGAAGCGCGAGCTCGAGGCGCACAGGTCGACGCTGTCCAAGACGCGCGGCGAGATGAGCAAGCTCAAGGCGGAGCTGCAGGCGGCGCGCGACGAGTGTGTGCGGCACGAGCAGGGGGTCAAGGAGCTGCAGCTGCGGCTGGCGACGTCCGAGACGCGCTCGGTGCGCTCGCACGGCAGCGGGAGCTTTGGACAGCAGAGTCAGAGCGAGCACGATGCGGCGGCTGCAGCGGCGGCGGCGATCGCCATGACCAACGGCGCGCGCTCGCCGGTGAACGGCAGGCGCACCTCGGACTATGAGCCGGGCATGATGGATCTGCGAAGCCACCGACCGAGTCTGGGGTCGGTCAAGCCTCCGCCGCCGACGCCGCCGCCCAACATGCCGCCGCCTCCGACGCCTGCGGGTGCGACGGGGGTGCGTACGTCGGTGGGCGTGCGCACCTCGACGTCGTCGCACATGACGCGGCCCGAGTCGCCTCCCAACGCGAATGGCGGTGGCGGTGCGGGCATGATGACGCGTTCGTCGTCGGTGACGTCCATCCACAGTCCCGCGGCTTCAGGGCTCGGAGCGGACGTGAAGCTGACGCGGCTGCTGGGCGAGCAGGCGGACGAGATCAAGAACCTGGCCAAGCAGCTCAACCACTGCGAGGCGGACCTGCAGGCGAACATTGACCTGGTGGCGACGCTCGAGGCTGCGCTGAACGACAGCGAGCGCAACCTGCGCAAGAGCCGGGTGCAGCTGGCCGAGGTGACGCGCGAGCGCGAGCGGTATGCGGCCGAGGCCAACGCGATGCGCACGCAGCTCAACTCGGCCCAGAGCGAGGTGGAGAACGTGCGGAACAGCGTGCTGCTCGAAAAGCAGGGCTACGAGAGCAAGATCGAGGAGGAACGTCAGGCTAAAGAGCGTGCGAGGAAGGCGTTGGAGGCGAGGCTGGAGGAGGTGAGCAAGCGAAAGAGCAACAAGCTGTTCTGTCTGTAAGATTGTGTATCAAATGTCAAGGGTTGCATCTCGAGGTGCAAGTCGATGGTGCTTTTTGCCGAATGAGGTCCGAATCCACCCCCTGAAAGCCGCCGAGTCGAGAGGGAGAGAGGGAGAGAGGAGATGGCCAGCGCATGGACGCAGGCGCTTTTTTTGATGCCGATTTTCCCTCTTTTTTTTTTATTTTTGGCAGTGGGCCAGCCAGCGAGGTCGGGGCGGAGGTTGAATTTCACGCTAAAATATGAGTTGAGCAGCGCCTCGCATCGGAGGCCGTGGCGGCGCTTTGGCCAAACTGCGATCGTTGAGGCCAAACTGCCGACGCGATCGTGGCGACCTTGCCATCATCCCGCCATCCCGCCATCCTGCCATCCATCAACGATCATCAACTTGATCCCGCCAACCCCCTCCACCACTTTTTTCGATCATCGACTTGAAGCAACCATGGCGGGTAAACGTGGAGGCGGTTTTGACATCGGGTAAGCCCCATTCGCATCCACCCTGCACTGCGACATGCGTCGACTGACATCCTTCTTGATTGGCAGCATGATCTTTGCGCACAAGATCCTTACCGTGCTGTTTGTGCTGAGCACGGTCGGATGGGTTGTGGCGTTTATCGGGCAGATTGCGGCCGAGGCAGGCGCGGG